AAATTGAAATATAGTAGTAAGGCCAAAAAGTCAGATGGCTGTCAATCAGCCATCCTTGATCAGATTTTGAAACAAATTGTCATGGACATGCATTCTAACATGTATAAAGTACATGTATGTGCCAAATTTAAATGAAAACTCACAGAGCACATTCAAGATACCACATAAAAAAACAAAAACAAGGTGCCTGCCAGTCGACCATTTTTGATCCAATTGCGAAATAAATCGTCATGGACATGTATCCTAACATGTATAATCTATGTACCAAGTTTGAATGAAAACTCACAAAGCTTGTCCGAACTACATCAATTTCAAAAAACAAGATGGCTGCCAGTCGGCCATTTTGAATCGAATCGCTAAACCACTGCATGTGCATATGTCCCACATAAAGTACTAGGCACATGCAAAGAATGAACGGAATCGGTCCAAGGGATTCTGAGATATGACTCTGGACGGACGGAGACCGCATTATAAGTCCCCGTTTTCGGACTTCGTCCGAACGGGGACTAACAAGCCATACAAAGCACAGTTCCCGTCAGTTATCGAATATAAGATATATAGTTTTGTTTATAGTAACATAGTTGGATTATAAACATGTCAGGAATATGATTATGATTTTTTAACATTAAAGTGATTGACATCTCATATCTGATCGTCAAACAAGTACTTGTCCATATTGAGAGATATTGCTCTGGAACAGCATTCAAAATCAGCCATTTTGAATACATGTATATATTTTTAACAATGTATAATGAATATATAAAATTTGAACATAATCAGTCAAACCATGTCAGAGATATGGCTCTAGAAATGCATTCATTAAAAACAAAATGGCTGCCAGTCAGCCATTTTGAATCTGATCTGTAAATAAAATGACGTGCATCAGAAACCCATTATGACTAATGTGTGTACAAATTTTAACAAAATCAAGAATAAATGCCAGAAATTCTTGATATTTGATGATTTTTTTAGCACAAAAATGGCCGCAATTTGATCATTTTGAATCAGAATGTGAAACAAATTGATGTGCCTCTGTATATTATTTACGTTGTTTGTGTGAAGTCTGAATGTAATTGGTCCAGTCATGTCTAAGATATAGGCCCAGAAGTATGCACAGCCACCACATATTTCAGAAAAAGATATGCCATTTAATTTTAAATTAAGGCATAATTTTTTGAACATTTCAATGATTCCTGACGCTTAGATTAGATTAGAGTCTAATTTAGGTTTTCCGTAGTCATTGATGCTTATTCCAGCGTACAGGTTTATTGTGGGTAGCGCGAGTGGGTAAACTGCGTTTCGACAATGAGCTGTTATTATCGTCAAAAGCTTTAAATTCTTCTTCAATGCTTAGCTTATTTTTCGAAAACAACTAATTTCTTGATTAAACAAGCAGCCTCTTGGCTGAGATAGCTCCGCTGTTAAGCAATGCACATTTCAATTAAAGAACAGAAAGTATCATTAAACAAGCAGCCTCTTGGCTGAGATAGCTCCGCTGTTAGCAAGACACATTTCAATTAAAGATATCATTAGAAAATGAACAATATGTATAAGTATGTATAGCAATCAGACTTGCTGTTTTCAACAAGAATTCAAAAATATCACTTTTTACCAAAAATGACATAAATATTCATCAAAATTAGATAATTGAAGATATCATCACGAAATGAACAAATCTGAGAGAGGTCCACATGTAGTACCTATATATGTAATATCAAAGCAATTGGACTTGCTGTTTTCAACAAGAATTCAAAAATATCACTTTTTACCAAAAATGACATAAATATTCATCAAAATTAGATAATTGGGGGAAAACCAAAGCTGGTCGCAATTTTCGAATAAGAATGAGTCGGCAATTTTTACCGGAGTCGAAAACTTGGAGGTAAACAAAATACCGAAACCCGGAAATCAATAAGTTGTCCGAATTTTGGAGTTTTTACAGTACTTGCGATTTTTAACAAGAAGTCAAAAATATCACTTTTTACCAAAAATGACAAAAATATTTATCAAAATTAGAGAATTGAGGATATCATCACAAAATGAACAAATCTGAGAAAGGTCCAGATGTAGTACCTATGTATGTAATATCAAAACAATTGGAATCTTGGTTTTTAACAAGAAGTCGAAAATATCACTTTTTACCAAAAATGACAAAAATATTCACCAAAATTAGATAATTGAAGATAAGATCATGAAATGAACAAATCCGAGAGAGGTCTACCCAAGGTACATATACACCAAGTATCAAAGCATTCAGGCTTGTAGTTTTCAAGAAGAAGTTGAAAAAGTAAAACATTGACACGAACGACGACGGAGGGCGGAGGACAATCACTCAAATG